CCATCAGTTCTTGAACCCCTTCCGGCGATCTTTCAAGAACAACCCTTTTGGTTCTTCCTCCTCTGCATCACAGATTCGCAGAGATTGTAGACATCGAAGAAAGAGATAGAGAAAGAAAGGGGTTTTGTTTTTGGTTTTTGGGATGCTTACTGTTACCAGAAAGAAGAAGGAATCAAAGAAGTAAAATATTAGCTCAAAAAAAAAAGTATTAATAAATTGCAAATTAAAAGTGTTTGGATCTACTGTGTGTTCTGTTGCGGAGTGACGTATAGTAGGACTTCTTGACATCAAAAACAGTTGTTTAGTGGGCTCGTTATTAATTTAGTAATATTTCTCGTTTCATCGTTGAAAGAAGTTCAAAGTTCCATTTTTCACATCTTCATTTCGATCCCATGCAATGAGGCAAGTTTAGACCTCGTTGTATAGGCCCACCAGAGGAAGCCTTCGTTGCCAGGTTAGCATGTCAGGACGCTTAACCATGCCTAACAACGGTTAAACGTCGACAGTTATGGTGAAGAAATAGTTCGTAATTCGGTCATTAGAGATGATTTATTATTTAATTTAAGCATTAAAATATCCTTAGCTCACACTATATCGATGTGACAAGATCTTATCTATCTTCTTTTTCTTGATTAATTGATGAGCTCTTTCGAGAATGACATTTGTAAGAATCAACTCTATAAATTAGTAATCATTTCCAAATTTGCAAATTTTGTCAAAGCATACTACTAATATCCTTCTGTAGATGAAGCACATTCATATTGGTAAAACCAGAAGACTGATACAGATTTCTTGTTTTTGCCGACAAGTCTTCGACATAAACGTGTTCCCACAAGGCATTCTGTTGTTTTGTTGTTGGACTTGCAAGTGGCAATGTCCATGACTCCATAGATAGAAATTGAACGCTATTAAAACAACGAAAACAAAGTTACAAATTACAAATACTTATCTTCACTTGTAGGTGAGAAACCTAAGTTCGAATCTTATGAACGACGAATTCGCTATTAATGTAAAAATTGTAATTTACAAATCAAACATAATAGAAAAGTTGAAACAAGTTGAGGATTACGTGTCCATATACCTCTATCCTCTTCCTTGACCCCACATATCTAACAGAAAATGGTTTGTCGTGAGCATCACATTTTTCTCTCTCAGCTTGTCTTTCTCATAATTTATAATTTGTTTGTGTGTACATTTTTTACATTTCTATTGGTTCCACATGGCATGTTTGGCAGTATTTTAGAAGCACTTTCAACAAAAGCACTTACGAGCACAAGTGGATTTCAATCTTAATGTGGGGGCGGCTAGGAACTCTACTAAGCGAAAAACAACTCGGTGGTGGTGAGGTTGAAGCAAATATTTATTTTCTGCAAAATGAATTGGGCACACCATTTTTCACCTACTAAAGATTTTTATTTAGTCATTGGATTGAAAAAATAAACAAAAAAAAATTTGCTTTGTAGAAAATTTAAACATTCATAGAACAAAATCAACGGACCCCAAATCATATCCAAATCAAGAATACAAAATGATATCCAGAATTCTCCAAACAACCGCAGCTTGTTCTTTCCAACAGACAAATTGGGTGCAGAGGCAAAATTTTCAAGGCATATCACAGAAAAGTACCTCCTTTAGAATTAAAGAAATTTGAAAGGCAGCAGAAGTTTAGTTCAATTGTTGCCAGCTTCGGAAAAGTTAAATACAGAAAGCGCTTTCTGCAGAAGTTCGAATCCGGTCCATTGTTCAACCATGTTGCAACTTTATACTACTTTGGGAACAAATAGCCCTCTCGAAGGTCTTTGTTTTGAAATGCCTTGTAAGCTTTACTCATGGAATGTCGTAGACATTGTTCTCGAAATAGTCTTCTGATTTACTATAGCTTCCGCCGAAGAAGCTTGAAGCTCCTTCATCCATCTTTAAACTCATTATGTTCTTTTCTTCCCAGGGCAAGTATTCGGAACTTACTTGGCTTGGAATGCTAAGACCGATATCATTACCCTGATGAAATGGAATTGGGAATCCATTTCCAGTGCTTGAACTTGGGATGCGTTGTTTATCAAGGCAATTCGCATTTCTCGACCTTATTTGAGGAAAGCTTCCATCCCTTTCTAGCTGCTGCATGGCGGATAATTTTCCACAATTTACTTTGTGCATTGGATTTACCTTCCCAGAGTTCATACCAACTTTGTTTATGTCAAATGGTGTTCCAATATAATTGCTTGATGAAGTACTGAGCATATAGTTCTCACCGCGTGGCTTAGTTAACACGGTGGGCAATGTCAAATACATCGAAGAAGCTACTTGACTGGGATGCTGCATCAGGACGTTCTTGTCTGTGGAATAGGATTGAAAATTTGGCTTAACATGATACAAATTATCAGAACCAGCTGCTGCATTGCTTTTAACACTCCTCCCTAAAGATTCAAGATCACATTGTTGAGGTTTCATGCCGGACTCAAAGTTGTTCCGATAGTTAACTTGAAATTTTACTTTTTCATCCAGATGTTGCACTTGGACCGTCTCCTTCACATTGTTGTGATGGTGTGCAAATACATTCCCCTTAAAGTTGCTTTCTCGAGGCACAGGGACATTCTTCCCAAAGTTGTTTTGGTGCTGAATGTTATCCTCATTTTTTCTTTCGTTATTCACTTGTATGTTCTCTTTATAGATGGTGTTCTTCTCAAAGTTATTTCCATGTTGTACTCGAACATTTTTCCCTCCAGAACTTCCTTCTCTCTGTTCAAGTTGCGGGGCAGCGTCATCATCCACCAGTTTTTGCATTTCCTTCCTCATCCATGAAAGCAAATTTTCTCTCGTCACTTTAAGATTCTCTAATAGGGACTCCTTGAAGATTTTAAGTTCATCCAAAGCAGCAGCAGAATTGTAAACGCCAGTTTTACTCTTTTTTCTACTATTCTTCTTACTCCTAAGGTGCTGCCTTTCTTTGACATGTTTTGATCTTCCCCACAAGGAATGAACATGCCAGTTTGCTGAGCTCTGCAGTTATCGACTGCTGCATCATTTGCAAGTGAAATCAAACCGGAAACCAGTTTACGCTTCTCGTGAGCCGCCTCACTACTTGATTTAGAATCGTCACTTGAAGAATCATTGTCATTGTCCTTCCTCCTGAACTCCCACATTTGCTGTTTAACCTCATCACCCATCCCAAAGCTAGGCGACATCAGAGCTTTACTGATTTGCTAACATACGACTCTGAATGCGGCACTGGCTCTAGGAAAGAAGTTTGCTTGAAAAAACCGCTGGCTAGAACCGCAATTTATCTGGCATCTTCCGTTGATTTCTTTGCTCAAATCCTACATGGAAATAAGAAACAAAGGGTCAAGTTGAATGAACAAAGGGGATAACAAAATCTGAATATAGTATTCATCTTCTTTAGTAGCAGGAAATAACAATTAAACACTAACAAAGACAACCACATGATTGAAAACCAAATATGGTCCACGAATTTCCTAGCGGAAACGTTGATTGGTTTAAGAAATTGGATACAGAAATGGATTACTAGATTCAGTAACTTTGAACCACATACAAACGCAACACAATGTGACCTTGATAAGAACACCAGAGTGACTCGATCAGTCAGTCTAGCGCTACAGGGAAAATTGAAATTCAACTCCTACAAACCCAAGCCCCCAATTTCGACCAAGTCCCAAACTTAAGCAAATAATCAAGAACAAAAGTAAATCTTGTAACACCAGAAGCTATAACAGCCCAGAAATACAAGCACAATAAGCTACCTTTTTTACACAAAACGCTAACAGTTCGTATAGTTATTAGAAATATATATATATATATATATGCAGGTTTTAACTGTCACAACATCCATGTATAAATTCAGAAGCCCAGAAACATGATCATAAAAAGCTTGAAAATTTGGCATAAAAAAGTGGAGGAATTATCAAGAGCAACATACAAATACCTACAGAATATATAAATTTTTATTCATTTTTTTCTTCATTTGTGGGATGGAAATTTTCATACCATAACATCAGTGGATGAGAATCTGATGAGACAATGAAGTTCCTATGCTCATACTTTGACAGCTCTCCAGGTGGTGGTGGTTCAGCATTAGCTTTTTGTTTTTGCATCAGAAATTCAGAATATATATCTGGCTCTCTCCAAAAGGAAAGTAAAAATGTATGTGGATTTGGGTGTAATAAATATTAATGTGTTTTTTGTCACCACATAAACTGCGTGCACTTAGACTTCTTGACTTGAATTGGGATTGTCATTAGCGTTACATATTACTTTCGTGAATTGCGAGTTTTGATTGTTGGTGTATTATGTGGCTTAATTCAAAACTCTATTTTAATAATATAAAAAGCATATGGCCTTGGTAGGTAAAAGAGTTGTTTATTTTGGTAAAAGAGTTAAATGATATTCTGCACCCAAATTCACGACACTAATGCTTGTTATCTGTTTCCACCAATCCTCCTCCCTCCATTTTATGATGCCAAGAAAAGTTTGCCTTACCAAGATTTCTTTTCTTCCGCACCCCCTCCCTCTCTTATTTTGGGAGTTATTTTATTTTATTTTTCCTTTTTCGGATTTTTCCCACATAAAGTTACAACGTAAATGTGAATTGTGCTAGTTAATTAGGACAGTGTGACCACTTTGCTTGCTCAAGTTCAATTCTTTTTCATAAGATTGAATAATTTAAAATAGAATAATGTCATACAGAAAAAGTTACAATATATATTTTTTTTCCCCATTAAACTTTAGAAGAAATTTTTATGGTACGTTTGTACATAGTTGTCTATTTTCTTAATTTCAATAGAACAGTAAATTTGAATGACAAACTTGGAAATATATTTTCATTTTTGGTAGAAAATATACTCGTGTGGAAAAGAAATTTAAAAAAGAGTGGCCACGATTATATTTGATGCATTAAATTAAAATTTAACGTAAATTAATGTAGAATATCGCTTGTACTAAAAAATTAAAATTAATGCTGATGAGAGAGAGAGAGAGAGAGAGAGAGAGAGAACTAACTGGACCAATCAATTGGGTTATAATTTAAATTGTGACATTGGCAAATACAGGATCTTAGATTACATACGAGTACATTCTACATTCTACACACGCATAACCTTACAAAAATTGTGTCACCTAATAACCTTTCTAGGGTTAAAATTACAACAATGCCTCAAAAGACCAACTCCTCACCAACCTGCATACATGAAGAAAATGTTAAGATAAATCTCTCTCTCTCTCTCTCTAGAAATAAACGTCAATTAGTAAGTTGAATGTATACCAGTCTTAGTAACCAAGAAGCCGTTATCGACTGCCTTCGCATATAATGTACATCGTTGACTTGACCAGACAAAGGTTGATACACGGTCACATGCATTCTGGACAAAGTATCTCCTATTGTACATCAAAACAACGTGGAAGTATACCTCCGTTCACTGTAACAAAATGCACTCCTTTTAGAGGAAATGGGAGGAATGGTCCATGAACTATGCTCGAATTGTAGATTTGATCCCTAAACTAAAAAATCATTAGATTTGGTCCCTGAACTTAACAAAATGTATAGCATTGGTCCCTCTATACTAACACCGTGAGATTTTCCGTTAGTTTGATGACGTGGTCTTTGTGGGCTCCATATTTTTGTTCACTAAATGCCATGTGGCTTAAAAATTCAAAATAAAAATAAATACAAACATAGAAAAAGAAAAAAAATAAAAAAGTAAAAGTTATCTCTCTCTCTCCCGTCTTCCCTTCTGCCTCAAAAAATTCAAGAAACCCAGAAAAGATTATCAAAATAAATACAAACATAGAAAAAGAAAAAAGATTAACAACCCCGAAGATCGAAACAAATTTGTGACTGAATCCACAACTTCTACCAAAATTCTGATTTCCCAAATTAAAATTATGTTGGGATCTCATCTGATTATTATGAAATCTAGCTCAAGATTCAATTGAACAGATTCTATCAAAATTTGCTAAAATTCTGATTGCCAAGAACTGAAATTTCAAACCCAGATTGACATAAATCGAATTCCGAACCCAAATCAACTCACAAATTCGGAATTTTATGAACCCAATTAAATCGAAGAAACTTCATAGCAAACAAAATGACATGGAAATTAAGTTGTAAGAAACAAGTGGCAAAGAGAAAACCTTTGGGCCAATCGGAGACGACCCTCTGCTTGAGCATATCGACGGTGGAGGCTGATGAGTAGCTGAACGGCCCGATATCGGTGCCGTCGTACAGCCGGAACTTTATGTCCACCAAATCCTCCTCCGGCATCTCTCTCAGTCAAGCCTTTGACTTTTGACTTCTCACACCTATGCATCGACCGATTGCTTCCACGTGTCCCCTTGCGCAGCACCCGATCGGGCCGAACAATTCAAACGCAATTTCCCTTCTTCTCTTTCTTCTATGGAGGTTGGAGGTGGGTACTGGTTGTTGGCGAGCTGATGAAGGAGAAGAAGAAGTGCAGCCGAACAATTCAAACGCAATTTCCCTTCTTCCCTTCCCTTCTCTCTCTCCCGTCTTCCCTAAACTAAAAAAATAAATACAAACGAAATCTTCTCACTTTTGATAATCTTTTCTGGGTTTCAATAATTGTTTCGATCTTCGGGGTTTTTTTTTCCGCTGTGCTTGTATCTGATCATTGGTAATTTGCTGGAGTTGTCTCTGATGGGGTTCTACGATCACGAACTCAGCTGGGGTTTGGAGGAGGCGAGGCAGAAGGGAAGACGGGAGAGAGAGAGAGATAACTTTTACTTTTTTATTTTTTTTTCTTTTTCTATGTTTGTATTTATTTTTATTTTGAATTTTTAAGCCACATGGCATTTAATGAACAAAAATATGGAGCCCACAAAGACCACGTCATCAAACTAACGGAAAATCTCACGGTGTTAGTATAGAGGGACCAATGCTATACATTTTGTTAAGTTTAGGGACCAAATCTAATGATTTTTTAGTTTAGGGACTAAATCTACAATTCGAGCATAGTTCAGGGACCATTCCTCCCATTTCCTCCTCCTTTTATAAGAGATCAATGACTTTCAGGTAACCTGCATCAGATCAACAAAAACAAGGATTACATTCTGCACACATAACGACGATTTCTCACTTGCAAGATCTAGAACAATTGCATGTAGCTTTTCTTTAAAAAGCGTTGTTGATAAATGAGAAATATCAATCATAAATAGAAATGCTGTTTTTCAAGCCATTCTTTCCCTCATAGGGATTGCTAGGTCTTCTGGAGATGCTAAGAAACAGAGATACCCCAAGTAAATGCAAATTACGGTCAGTTAACCTACCTCCATGGAAATTCACTTGTGTCTATTCCAGCTTGGTGAAGCTCATCAACGTACTGTAACGCCTCTCGGCACTCTTCCCGGTCATCAAAGAACTCTTTTTTGCCACCTTCGATCTGATATGCTTCATGCCCTTTGCCAGCAACCACCTGCAGTAATGCAACATAATCTTAAAAAGAGCAACAAGGAGAGTCATGACAACTGGAAAACAGTTCCAGGGAGGGTACCCATATTTTGTAATTCATCTCACACGGAAAATCTATATTATAGTGGCTAGAGTAATCATAATTTGTTTGCACACGTACAAACTTATTTCTTTTTCAAAACCCTTAAGTTTCTTTCTTAGTTTTCACCACCAGCGTTCTCTCAGAATCTTTTAAGGAATACCACTTCTTCATCTTGCAAAACCAAAATACATACTAATTCTTTTATTTTTCTTAGAAGACAAAAGTAAAATAATTGCCAATTTTGAGGGGTTGCGTTTGGGATTTGAAATGACTAGATGCAGGGTACCATTGAACTCTATGTATAAGCAATAATATACCTAGAAGCAAAAAATGATACTAATTAAATCTTTTGAGAGAGTGGATAGCCATATTGTGACTTTTTTCCTGTATATGCATAAATCTTGCGTATGGAAGAGATTTGGGGCTTCATAAACTTACAACCATATCACCTTCCTCGCCCATGGCAACAGCACAACGTACGGCTACTCGTCTAATATCATGAAGGAAAAGCCTATGACCATTTGCAAGAGGTGGGTAGTAATCGTTCTCCCCGTGTTTTAAGTAATCTTGCATTGTCCATCCTACACCAGCCAACATATCATCCAAAATGTCCACTGAAACAAATGACAAGCGTAAGCTTTAGGACACCAAGACTTGACAATACAAGAGAACAATAAACATTAAACAATAGCATTTCTAGAGAGACCGGCCACAGCTAAATTTAGAGTCACACAAACATTATAGAAGTTACCCCATCTATGGATTTTTTTTTTTAAGTCGAGTAACATTTTACAACGTCAATAATAGCAAACAAATAACTCCGCCGTGTAAGTTTATCTTACATTACCGGTCCCAAGCCCGGATAAAGGAGGAGGGGGAGGGCGTCAGGTAGTCGACAGCCGGCACTCCATGATCACGTCGAATCCTTATGAAAATGAATCCAGAACGAAATCGCGCTAAAGCTAGGGCGTCACCCGTAAGTGGCGCGCTGTGTGGCCTGAGCACAGTGATAAGTGAGCAAGGGTCGCTGTATCTCCATCGGCACCCGGATGCAGTGTTAAATGAGCAAGGGGGCTATAGAAACTTCTTTTCGAACGACTCCACTCAAAGTTGTTTGGGAGCATATGCTCCTATCAACTTTACACGGGACACACAAAAGAAGTACTTTGATCATATTAGACGGGGAAGGGTGAAGAAGCTAGGACAGAAGGGTAGAGTTCAAGAGAGCAAAATGCGTTTAGGAACGTGGAATATAGGAACCTTGAACGGGAAAATCTATGGAAGTAGTAGAAGTTATGGTGAGGAGAAGGATAAATATTATGTGCCTACAAGAAACTAAGTGGGTTGGTGTAAGGCAAAGGATCTAGAAAACTCAGGGTTTAAACTATGGTATTCGGGCACAAATAGAACGAGAAACGGTGTTGGCATCATCGTGGACAAGACCTTGACACAAGATGTTGTAGATGTCAAGAGGGTAGGAGATAGAATCATGGCAATCAAGATTGTAATAGGACAAGAACTTATCAATGTGATTAGTGCGTACGCACCTCAAGTAGGGTTGGATACGAGTTCGAAGGAGAAATTTTGGGAAGACCTTGGAGACTTGGTGCAAGGAATTGCTCAGACGGAGAAGTTATTTATAGGAGGAGATTTAAATGGACACGTGGGCAGGGAGACAGGCAACTATGGAGGTTTTCATGGTGGCCATGGTTTTGGGGAGAGAAACGAGGATGGGGAAGCTATCTTGGATTTTGCAATGGCATATGATCTCTTCTTAGCCAACACCTTCTTTAAGAAAGAGGAAGAACATGTGATCACCTACAAGAGTGGGTCGTCAAAAACACAAATAGATTTTCTTCTAATGAGGAAAAGGGATCGTATAACTTGTAAGGATTGCAAAGTTATACCAGGAGAGAGCGTGGCTAATCAACATCGCTTGTTGGTGATGGATGTACATATCAAAAGAGTGAGAAAAAAGAACAAAACTTGGAAGTGCCCAAGGACTAGATGGTGGAATCTAAAAGAAGAAAAAACAAGCCATTTTCAAAGAGAAAATAATCACCCAGTGTGTGTGGGATAGAGAGGGGGAAGCTAACCAAATGTGGGATTCCATGGCTAGTTGTATCCGAAAAGTAGCAAAAGAGGTATTAGGAGAGTCCAAGGGCTTTGCCCCACACCAAAAGGAATCTTGGTGGTGGAATGAGGAGGTACAAACAAAGGTGAAGGCTAAGAAGGAATGTTGTAAAGCCTTATACAAGGATAGGACCGATGAAAATGGTGAAAGGTATAGAAAAGCGAAGCAAGAGGCGAAGAAAGCTGTGAGAGAAGCTAAGTTAGCGGCTTATGACGATATGTATAAACGACTAGATACCAAAGAAGGAGAGTTGGATATCTATAAACTAGCTAGAGCAAGGGAAAAGAAGACAAGGGACCTAAACCAAGTGAGGTGCATCAAGGATGAGGATGGAAAGGTTCTTGCTACAGAGAACGCGGTTAAAGACAGATGGAAAGGTTATTTTCATAATCTTTTCAATGAAGGACATGAAATGAGTGCTTCTTTAGGGGAGTTGAGTAACTCAGAAGAGTGTAGAAACTACTCTTTTTATCGTCGAATCCGGAAGGAAGAAGTGGTTGTAGCTTTGAAGAAGATGAAGCATAGAAAAGCAGTAGGCCCAGACGATATACCAATCGAAGTGTGGAAAGTTTTGGGAGAGACAGGTATAACATGGCTCACTGACCTTTTCAATAGGATTTTTGAAAACGAAGAAGATGCCAAATGAGTGGCGAACGAGCACTTTGGTGCCTATCTACAAGAATAAGGGCGACGTACAAAATTGCATGAACTATAGGGGTATTAAGCTAATGAGTCATACAATGAAGCTCTGGGAGAGAGTCATTGAGCATAGATTGAGGCAAGAGACACGGGTTTCGGACAACCAATTCGGGTTCATGCCAGGGCGCTCAACCATGGAGGCAATCTATCTCTTACGAAGATTGATGGAAAGATATAGAGATGGGAAAAAGGATTTACACATGGTCTTTATAGATTTGGAAAAAGCGTATGATAGGGTCCCAAGAGACATTCTTTGGAGGATTTTAGAGAAGAAAGGAGTACGAGTAGCATATATATCCAAGCTATAAAGGATATGTATGAAGGAGCAAAGACTGCCGTAAGAACTCATGAAGGACAAACCGAAAGCTTTCCCATAACTGTAGGATTACATCAAGGCTCATCCTTAAGTCCTTACCTTTTTGCGTTGGTAATGGATGAGTTAACAGGACATATTCAAGATGATATTCCTTGGTGTATGCTTTTCGCAGACGATATAGTGTTGATAGATGAAACTCAGGAAGGGGTAAATGCAAAGCTTAACCTTTGGAGAGAAGTGTTGGAATCTAAAGGTCTTCGCCTAAGCCGATCAAAGACAGAATATATGGAGTGCAAGTTCAGTGCAAATGGAGGCCAAAACGAGTTAGGGGTGAGGATCGGAGATCAAGAAATACCAAAGAGCGACCGTTTTCGTTACCTAGGATCTATCTTGCAAAAGAACGGAGAATTAGATGGAGATCTCAACCATAGAATACAAGCTGGATGGATGAAGTGGAAGAGTGCATCCGGCGTGTTGTGTGACCGCCGTATGCCACTGAAGCTCAAGGGAAAATTTTATAGGACGGCAATAAGGCCGGCGATGCTGTATGGCACAGAATGTTGGGCGGTGAAGCATCAACACGTACACAAAATGGGTGTAGCGGAGATGAGGATGCTTCGTTGGATGTGTGGGCACACGAGAAAGGATAAGATTAGGAATGAGGATATCCGGGGTAAAGTAGGAGTAGCCGAAATTGAAGGAAAGATGAGAGAAAATCGGTTACGGTGGTTTGGACATGTGCAAAGAAGGCCTACTGACGCTCCGATTAGAAGATGCGACTATGGACAGAGGTTCAGGGCCGAAGGGGTAGAGGAAGACCTAGGAAAACTTTGGAAGAGACTCTAAGAAAAGACTTAGAGTACTTGGATCTAACGGAAGGACATGACACAGGACAGAGCACAATGGCGTTCTAAGATTCATATAGCCGATCCCACTCAGTGACTTGGATTTTCCAAGTCTCCAACCGAGAAGTTTTCCTCACTCGGGAAATTAAGGGAACACTACCTCAACCTACATGCTCCACTCACAAAGCTTCAACATACAAGCTTCAACAAAAGAAAATTCAAAGAACTTAGCGAAGAAGGCTTTGGTGTATTTAACACAATACGTTGAAATGAAGGAAAGCTTATTTATTGATATCCCCGATAAGCTACAAATATGTACATATACATGAGTCAAAATAAACAAACAAGAGGGAGCCTTCACAAAGGTTGCTTAGGAGAAGTCTCAGCAGTCGGTAGAGCCCCAGAAAGAGAAGGCACCGGAGGGGGATCATTCGGAGCCTCAGTACTGGACAGAACCCTAGAAGGAGGAGGCATCAGAGGTTGATCATTTGGAGCTTCATTACGCGGTACAGCCCCAGAAGACGAAGGCAATAAATGCCTTTGGAACAAACCCACAAATCTCTGATGATCAAGTAAAACCTGACCATCAGATTCCTTCATCTGGTCAAGCTTCCTCTTCATGTTTGTAGCATAGTCATGTGCGAGCCGGTGCAACTGTTTATTCTCATGCTTGAGCCCTCTAATCTCCTGTTTGAGACTCATCACTTCAGCCGCCAATGATTCAACTTGGCGGGTTCGAGCAAATAGGCGTTGGGCCATATTAGACACAGAACCTGCACACTGAACACTGAGAGCCAGAGAATCCTTAACAGCCAACTCATCAGACCGTTTGGAAAGTAGTCTGTTATCTTTGGGAGTGAGAAGGTTCCTGGCCACCACCGCAGCGGTCATATCATTCTTCATCACGGAATCCCCAACGGTAGAGGACCAGTAGGGGAGACGAAGGATGGGCGCCATATGTTGTCTGGAGAAGGCGGGGCTGCCTCTTCAACAAGGTTCAAGTCAAAACGACGGTCGGAGGGGCCAGACATTTTCAAAGGTGTTGAAGAGAGAAGAGGTCGGACAAATCAAGATCTTAGAAGTGCAAGAATGGAGCTTCTACTGGTGGAGATTCAAGTGTGCTTTGGAACTTAATGCCAGCCTCTATAAAAATCTGCACTCGACGAAGCTTCAGAAATCGAAGAGGCGTTTGCTTTCTCAAAAGCTGGGCTGCTCAGAGACGAGGGTCGATCTCAGAAATCGAAGAGGCGTTTGCTTTCTCAAAAGCTGGGCTGCTCAAAGACCACGAAGGCCGATCTCAGAAATCGAAGAGGTTTGCTTTCTCAAAAGCTGGGCTGCTCAGAGACCACGAGGGCTCAGAAATCGAAGAGGTTTGCTTTCTCAAAAGCTGGGCTGCTCAGACCACGAGGGCCGATCTCAGAAATCGAAGAGGCGCTTTCTCAAAAGCTGGGCTGCTCAGAGACCACGAGGGCCGATCTCAGAAATCGAAGAGGCACCTACTTTTCCAGCCTTGTCAGCACCTGTCACACGCACACTCAGCTTTGCGGAAATTATGGGCATTCTGTCGAAGATTTCTGGGAAGTAGAAAGCACATGAATCTTACTGTTCAATCACCCACTTCCCACACGCAACAGTAGCTCATGGGTACCACATATAACTTTGCCAAAGTCCTCTGACAAAGTTGAGACTACAGCAGCACCTGTCACACGCACACTCAGCTTTGCGGAAATTATGGGCATTCTGTCGAAGATTTCTGGGAAGTAGAAAGCACATGAATCTACTGTTCAATCACCCACTTCCCACACGCAACAGTAGCTCATGGGTACCACAGATAACTTTGCCAAAGTTCTCTGCAAAGTTGAGACACGTGAAGCTTGCAGCTCCCACTACATCGCTCTGACCAAGAAGGGTAAAAGAATAGCAAAGAAACAGCACTAACAAAGTTTAGACACATAAATTTTGAAGGTCTAGCTACCATATTATTACCCACAAGGGTAAAGGAACAGTACCACTGCTGGATAATTGGAAAGTCCCGGTGTGTCAACCTCTGTGCTTCGTGGCAAGGTAGACTAGCAAACATGCCCAACCTTTACTCACATTCGAGAAAACACTCCCAACAAGATTGCTTGCTCCAAAATCGAAGAGGCACCGCCCTCCGAATCTCGAGAGCCAGACTCCCAACATGATTACTTTCTCAAAAAATCGAAGAGAGGGTAAAGGAACAGTACCACTTGCTGGATAATTGGAAAGTCCCTGTGTGTCAACCTCTGTGCTTCGTGGCAAGGTAGACTAGCAAACATGCCCAACCTTTACTCACATTCGAGAAAACACTCCCAACAAGATTGCTTGCTCCAAAATCGAAGAGGCACCGCCCTCCGAATCTCGAGAGCCAGACTCCCAACATGATTACTTTCTCAAAAATCGAAGAGAGGGTAAAGGAACAGTACCACTGCTGGATAATTGGAAAGTCCCTGTGTGTCAACCTTTGTGCTTCGTGGCAAGGTAGACTAGCAAACATGCCCAACCTTTACTCACATTCGAGAAAACACTCCCAACTCCCAACATGATTACTTTCTCAAAAATCGAAGAGACACCGCTCTCCGAATCTCGAGAGCCAGACCCCCAGCATGATTGCTTTCTCAAAAATCGAAGAGGCATCGTTCTCCGAATCTCGAGAGCCAGATCCCCGACAGGATTGCTTGTTCGAAAACCGAAGAGGCACCACTTTCCCAACTTCAAGAGCCGGATCTCCTTGGATAAAGCTTGTCTGTAATCTTCACACGCAACATCAGCTTTCCAGATACCACAGACCACTTTTTCAAAGTGCTCTGACAGAGTTAAAACATGTGAAGCTGGCAGCTCCCACTACCGTGCTATGACCAAGCAGGGTAAAGGAATAGCATTACTACTTGTTGTTAGGGAGACTCCTATATATGTCGACCTCCATCCCCAACGGACAGGCAGACCTGCAAAAATGCTCAACCCTTCCTCATATCTGAGAGGGCACTCCCAACGAAGCCTTTCGAAATATTCAGCTTTCTTTCCCCCCGATAATACCTCTGCAAACAAGCTATACTAGAGCAAGAATATCTCATATCATCAGGGTTAAAAGCAAGAGTATCCCATATCATGCTTTTTCCCTGTCTTTTCCTTTGGCCTTGTTCTTACCTGCAAGACAAGGAGAAAGAGAGCAATCAGTCAGCACTTGGAATCAAGCTTCCAGCCAGGAACTGACTGCCTGGAACCCCTTACCTGATTACTTACCTGGCATTGCTCTCGAGTACTCATCTTCAACATCTTATGCTTTCCAGGGAAGATACCGCATCTGCCTTGAGGAACAGATAGGGCAAGTGAGAAGGATACAAGGAAGCATGTGGAGACAAGCGTAACAGCACACGTGCCGATACATCCACTTACTCTGTCAAAAGCAAAAGTATCCCATATCAGCAGGGTCGAACGTACTCTAGATTTGATGGACTTGTTTTGACCCTCAAATTCTTCAGTCGGCCTTATACTCTGGAGGAAACCAGAAAACCCTCCAGCTCCAGTTCAAGAATAAGCCTGTGGAAAGTTACTTCTTCAAAAGCAAAAGTATCCCATATCATCTCTTCTCATTTTTCTTCTCTTTATCCTTCATGCTGCCTGCAAGATAGGGAGAATGGTGAACAATCAGCCGGAGCTCTGATTGCTTACCTTGTCTGTCACCTCTTTCAGCAGATCCCCTAGCTCGGCGACTTGGGGGACTCCTACTACATGGTTTGTATCGCGCTTGACCAAGCCTGAAACTACAAGTAAGCTTCAAGTGAAATTGATACATTACCTTGTGCATCTCCACCAGTTAAAGATACCACCCCTGGATGGAGGAAGAGTACTTCCAGAGAAGATGCCACATCTACCTATGAGACAGATAAGGCAAGTCAAGACGATACCACACTCCGATACTTAGAAGTTTCGTGATTACGAGATCATTCTCCCACAATATTTCCTAATGTCATTTGTACTAAATCATTCACTTGTACTCACTAAAGGAGAGCTTGAACCTATGTACTTGTGTAAACCCTTCACAATTAATGAGAACTCTTCTATTCCGTGGACGTAGCCAATCTGGGTGAACCACGTACATCTTGTGTTTGCTTTCCTATCTCTATCCATTTATATACTTATCCACACTAATGACCGGAGCAATCTAGCGAAGATCACAAAAAGCGACCGTTTTCGCTACCTAGGATCTATCTTGCAAGAGAACGGAGAATTAGATGGAGATCTCAACCATAGAATACAAGCTGGATGGATGAAGTGTAAGAGTGCATCCGGCGTGTTGTGTGACCGTCGTAGGCCACTGAAGCTCAAGGGAAAATTTTTATAGGACGGCAATAAGGCCAGCGATGTTGTATGGCACAGAATGTTGGGCGGTGAAGCATCAACACGTACACAAAATGGGTGTAGCGGAGATGAGGATGCTTCGTGGGATGTGTGGGCACACGAGAAAGGATAAGATTGGGAATGAGGATATCCGAGGTAAAGTAGGAGTAGCCGAAATTGAAGGAAAGATGAGAGAAAATCGGTTCCGGTGGTTTGGACATGTGCAAAGAAGGCCTACTGACGCTCCGGTTCGAAGATGTGACTACGGGACAGAGGTTCAGGGCCGAAGGGGTAGAGGAAGACCTAGGAAAACTTTGGAAGAGACCCTAAGAAAAGACTTGAGTACTTGGATCTAACGGAGGACATGACACAAAACCGAGCGCAATGGCGTTCTAGGATTCATATAGCCGACCCCACTTAGTGGGAAAAGGCTTTGTTGTTGTTGTAATAATAGCAAACAAATAAAAAATCAGTGTTGAGATACATACATGGATCTTCATTCTTTGGATTGTCAGACGTCAGTATGGTCACGTCACTTTTATCTGTTGCAATCTTCGTCATCATGGGTCTTTTCCCTCTGTCACTCTCTCCAGGACAACCAATTACTTCACATAAAGCACAAATAATTGATCAGCAAAGAAAGAACAACTACATTTTTTCGCATAAATATTTTATTATTAGTGCTCCATAATTGGTCATCATGGGAAAAAAATTATGATAAAAAGACTCTTAAACACAGAACATGAATAAGAATAGCCTTCTTACAAAATGGTTTCAACCCTACAATTTACTCAACCTAGACATTACTACTTTTTATTAACAATATTGCAGTTTTGACGTGGGCAGAGAAGTTGGATACATATTGCAAGTCTGCAGTACAGTTATGCTAACTTCATATGTGAAAATACACAAAACGAAACATAAGAAACATACCAGTAATAATCCTCCTTGAACCAAGCTCCCTTACAGAATCCAATAGCCTAGACAAGGCATCAGGAGTATGAGCATAGTCCACAATTACTCCAAAGGCCTGTTCCTCATCTATTAATTCACACCTCCCTGGAACTGCATCAACCTCTTCAATTCCTCTAACGATATCCTCCAATGGTGATCCGACTGCAATCCCAACAGCCACAGAAGCCAGTATATTGTATATATTATGTCTTCCAAGTAAGCCTGATGATATCTCCAATATACCATTTGGAGTATTGACTAAAACCTGCGTCTCAAACAAGGAAAGTTCAAACTTCAAGGGGTGAACGTCTGCATTCTTATTCTCCATGGCAAAGGTCACAACTGGAACATCTGGGTTGCCTTGTGCAATAAAGAAGGTTGAATTCGGATCATCAATGTTCACAACTTTCCTGTGCCGTTCCGGATCCACCATCCTTGAAAACAACTTAGCCTTTGCATCCCTATACTCCTCCTCAGTCTTGTGAAAATCTAAATGGTCTCTCGTTAAATTTGTGAAAACTGCTATGTCAAAGTCAACTTCATCGCACCTGGATAGAGCAAGACCATGAGAAGAAGCCTCCATGACAACGGCTTCAGCCCCATTATGGAGCATCTTAGCCATCAAATTTTGAACCAAAACAGCATCCGGGGTCGTGTTAGGTGACTCCAACTTATTATCCCCATGCACATAATATGCAACCGTACTCAACATACCGGTCCTCAATCCCATCGCTTCATACATCCCTTTTATCAAATATGCAGTTGTGGTCTTCCCATTTGTTCCCGTTATCCCAATCACTGCCATATTCTTCGACGGGTACCGATAAAACGACGCAGCCAATGCAGGTAAATCCGCATTTGTATCTTCCACAATGACCAATGCCTTACACCCCAGACTTTCCTCCATGTATATCTCTTTACTAGCTACAACAGCCACCGCACCTCTCTTAATAGCCTCACTCAAATACAAATGCCCGTCGGTCTTGCTCCCAACACAGCACACAAACAAATCACCGGCATTAACCACCCTCGAATCGTGTTGAATTCCTGTAATCTCAACTTCTAAGTCACCATAAACCGACACGGGCACCACTTTACTCTCATCCAAAAGCTCAGCCAAGCCCATTTTAAACTTCGGTTCCACAATCCTAGCCCTAGTTTTACCATAATTATCAAAATCCAAATCAAACTCCGAATTCAAACGCAAAATCCCATCTTTACCATCCAAATCACTGACCTTGGGATCGAATTTCTCCGGCCCGTCTTCCTCTTCGTCCTCGCCAACAACCCTAATCCCCTGAAGCTCCTCAATCTCCTCCAAATCCACTACCTCCTCAGGGTCCAATTCGTCAACCGCCACAATCTCTTTCTTAGGGTTTGGCTTCAGAAGCCCCTGCTTCACAAACTCCTTGCGTTTCAAGGCAATCGCCTGGTCGATGTCGCCGAACAAATCGTCCCCGGAGTTGTCGTTGATTACGGAATTGGGATTCTCCGGCGCGTCCTCCACGTCAGCAATGGCGTTGAGGAAGGTGTCCTGGTGCTTTAAGTAGTCTTCCTCTTGGAGCTTGCGGTGGCGCGAGGCCTGCCGCTGGATTTGCTGGAACTTGGACACTCCGTGGCCCGAGTCTTCCGGGGCTTCAGGCGGGTCGTCGTCGGCCGGGTCCGGGTAGTACTTGCCGTCCGGCCCGATTGCGTGGGTGGGCTTAATGAACCGGGTGGAAAGAGAGGGAATTGAGGGTTTGAGGGAAGTGAAATTGGATCTTAGAGAGAGAAAGTGAGGTTGAGGAGAGAGAAAGTTGGGGATTGAGAGGAAAGTGAAGGCCATGAGAGATTGAGGTTGCAGAGACAGATGAGAGAGAGTGAGAGGTTTTGGCGATGGGGAAGGGGATAGGGGTTTAGTGCTGACGTGGCGAGTGGCGGGTTTTCATTTCGCGGTTTTTGTTTTCCTTTGGATTTTAGTTTTTGGGCTTGGCGAAGTGTTTGGGCCGAAGTGCACCCTAATAAGTTAGACATATTTTTAGGGTGGTGCTATTCACCATCCGAATGAGTTAATTTCTGTTATTTGATTATCTTTAATTTATTTGATTTAACGGTCGAAAATTGTGATGAGTGGTAAAAGATAAAGTGTGGTGTGTGAATAGACCCACTCTATTTTAAAGAAATGATAAACTCACATCTATTTTAGCTTCTTACACATTTTTATTTAATTTTTAATTTTTTGGTTTGATTTATTTAATTTCAAGACCAATAATGAAGAGAAATGTGTGAAAGGCTACAGAGGATGAGTGAAAATCAACCCTCTATAATAATTTTATTATTATGGGTATAATTTCTTGTAATTATCTATCTATACTTACTATTTATTAAGAAAAGAGCTTTTGTTAACATCATTTCAAAATTTTCTCCTCATTTTTTCAAATTTTCCCTTAATATTAAACAAAAATTATTTACTGGGGATATTTATGTCAAACTACAAAATCACTTTATTAAGAAAGTATTTTCTCACAATCCCACTTTCTCTTCATCTATCTTCTTTACAATAACTCCTATGAATTGTTGCCTATTCCGATGTGAGGTGGAGGATACTCCTTGCGGTTTAAGCTGCGAATGGACTCTTTGCCTGGAATTGGGTCTGGAATGCTTGTCGAAGTGTGAGCCCAACCGTGAATGCGCTCATCAAAGTGTGGGCCCAACAGTGAATGCATACTTGCATGTGGACCTAGTCGAGATTAAACGCTTCTTTGGACGCTAAGGTGAGAGAAACCATTACCCTAGGGGCCTAAGCGAGAATGCACACTGCTATAATGACAGGTTAATGGCTAGTTAAATGGCTGCTTACTCGGATGCTGCTGGAAAGAAACATTGTCGCCTGCCCTTGTCCTGCTTCGTGATATCTCATCACGAGTGTGCTGAGTCTCAATGTGCTCCAAGAGCTTATTCACCAAGGTCGTTTGCTATGCAAAGGCGCTTGTCAAATATGCGACCTACCGAAAATGGTGTTGTTCACCATTTAGGACGGAAGAGCTTGAAGGGTAGGCATTTTCATAAGTAGTGGAAAGTATAATGGACTCTGGATGCAAAATTTGTGCCGAGATGAGTTTCTGGGGAAAACGGAGCTAAAATACGCACGACTCAATTGTCGGTCCGACGGTCTGTCCGGCCGGTATTGCTTGGGCCTAGATCGGTTTAGGAACCTAGAGTCGGGTCGTTGAATCGATTTAGGAACTTAAAGTCGGGTTGTTGAACTGGTATGGGATGAAAGTTGGGTCGTGAGAGCGGACTAGGCAACTAGAACTGGTCGGGTCACAATCTAGGGGTGCAGGTGCTTGACCTGGTCGGCGTGGCCCACCTGGCCTTGGGTTGCGCTAAGCACTCACTAGGTTTGGGCATTGACTGCTGCAGGGATTGGATTTGGTGATTCCTATGCAACGGCTAGGACAAGCAAGCCTTAGGCCGCACCTTGGGCCTCGCATAGGGTTACACCCTGGGTTTGCCGCTGCTTTGCAACTTCTTCATCGTGGCCTTAGGGTGCACCGTGGGCCATTGCTGCTATGCCCGGGGTGGTGCCCCACATTGGTAGTGAAACTCCAGTCGCCATGTTGAGCCTTAAGGAACGACGGCGTGGGCTCATGTCACGATCTTCATCATCTAGTCCATATTCTTCAACGTAGGATGTTACATTCGTCGTGGTTTTGGAATTTCTCGCCATTGTATTTCTTCCCTAGGGCTATTCAAAGAACTTATAAAATAACTTTAGGAAGGTGTGGAAATTTTACGTATGTAACAGAAAAATTTGAAATGCAAATGCGAGAGCCTTCTTTGAGCGTTTGAATCAAGCTCTCAATGAAAACACCATTTTGTGGTAGCAAGAATTCACCGTCTTTAATCTTGACGAATTTGTACCAACAAAACAATCAACACCTTCGATTAAGGCCAAAGCCACACACGCTTGAAAGGTGAGGGAGGGGTTTGGCCAATGGATCTTCGATGCCTAAGTCCGTAACTCTAAAAAGAGTGAGTGTTCAAGGTTTGTATGCGTAGCAACAACTTACCAAAATTTGGTGGTGATGAGGTATTTATAGGGAGGTGGCTAACCTAGGTGTAGGGTTTTGCCTTACACGTGGCTGTTTCCTATTGGCCAAGGTTATGTCATCTGTAGGATGGATGAGGAAATAATTATCCAAAGATATTAATTAGGAGATAATATCTTGAGATGATGATGAAATCAACCTCGATTGATTGTGATAAGGATTTCTTATTTGTGTGAGTTGATCTTCAATTGAGAATGTAGTAAGGATATGAATTGGTGATGAATCGTATCTTTAATGTTTAACTTTTCCATGCCATGAGCAAGGGAACTTGAGGAGGTATAGTCAGTTGCTTTGACCTCCAGGTATGTTGAGCTGGGTGTGGGAAGATTTGTGTGTCTAACCCATTTAATGAGAGCAATCTTATCTTCTTCAGAAAAAAGTCCACGTGTCGTCTCTAAGATTTTTGAGATTATTTTAGGTTCACATATGTAATTTGGGATTTATTTCAAGTGCAGCTACAAAACTAAACAAACGTAAACAAACAACCATCCCCGACATTACGTTTGTTTAGACATCTGTTACAAGAGATAGTAATTAAGAGATTCTTTATTAATATTGAATTGGTCTAAACTGAAGTGATAAAACCCTATTCTTTTTTAGTAGTGATGAAATGTGTTGGAAGAAACTTGTTCCTACACTAAATTTCCCTCAACAGTCAATTGTCTCATCAAATTTGTGAAAACAACCATGTCAAAGTTAACTTTATGACACCTGGCTATAGTTAACCCACGAGAAGAAGCCTCCACGACAACAGTTTTAGTTAGGGGTGGGCGCGATGTGGTTTCGAGTGAAACCGCAACTGAAACCGAAATTTTTTATGGTGCGGTTTTGAAGCCAAAACCGAAATGAAACCAAACCATTTGGTTCGGTTCGGTGCTATTTCAAATGGTTTCGGTTCAGTTTTTAAGAAAAAAATGTACAATTTAAAATATGCACTTATTTACACATAAGACGGTCTTATTTTCCTCATATATTAACTACCCAAGTTATTCATAGAGTAATCTAAATAAAACTTCTAGAACTGACATCTTCAATAACCAATCTCACTCTAGTTTCAACAATATATACGAAGTTAGGATTTTGAGCAGCAATAAGCTTTCTCATACCGTCAGCCTAGGGTAGAAATAGGACCATAACGTTCCAACAAGCAAACTGGACTATGGAAAGGGAGATGGGACTTGGACTTGACCAACGAATAACATTTTGGATGTCCTTACCAACTGCAATTTCATAAAACACAAATGATATCATCAGATATCTTTTGAGAGAAAGATGACGATGAGTTTTGAGAGAGAGAGATGTATGGACTCAAATAGTGGTGCAAAATTGAACATGACTATAATGTAGTTGAACTAATTAAAACATAACATTCAATATGGTGCGGTTTCGGTGCAGTTTTGAAAACCCAAAACCGAAACCAAACCGTTTTCTTTGCCGCGGTTCGGTTTTGAAACCGTAACCGTTTCAAAACCGCAAAACCAAACCGTTCGGTGCGGTCTGATTCGATTCGTGTTTTGATTTTGATTTTCGGTTCTAAGTGCCCACCCTTAGTTTCAGCCCCATTATAGAGCATTTTAGCCATTAAATTTTGAGTCTCGCCCTCCTGGGCTTTAGGATCCAAGAAAATTATGATCATATAACACCTACTATTCGCTCTTAGTCCAATTGTAGAGGAGATATTGACAAAAAAAAAATAGATGAATGTTCTTTTAAACTTTAATTTTTTAGCTTAACCACAAATTTTTTGGACGCTAGAGTCTAAGCAAACGAGAGACTGATCAAATTTTGAACCAAAACAACATCCTGGATTTATTGCAAACACGGCAAGTGGCGGGATTGAGTAACTTCTATAGTAGAGCACTTATCCTCACACTCATTATAACAAGGAAAAATTAGTATCCAGTCCCTAATTACTAATGTTTATTGACTGAAGTCTTATTAGTTTTCAGATTTTGATCCAAGTGCCTAGCATTAATGTAATAATGAATTTACATAACAGTTACATAATTTTTTAAAATAAAAATTAATAATTGATTTAGAATTTTAATACTCACACCTTTATTAAACTCCTAACTAAGTTTCAATTCAAAACATTTCCAAAATAAATAAATAAATTAGAATAAGTTTGTACTCATTAGCTTCTTTAAAAAATGTTTTCAATTTTTTAATCTTATATGTACTCATTCATGTAATTTTTTCAAATTTTGTTTCAGAATCAATTTTTTTCCAAACCGAAGCCAAAAAAAAGAAAAGAAAAGAAGATATTAGGCATAATAACATTAGTAAATTTCTTCGATTAAACTTGACATGAATATTGTCACATCCCGGCCCGGGCCCCCACCACATCCTGGGCTCGACTCCACCGTAGCACGATATTGTCTGCTTTGGGCCCCGACTACGCCCTCACGGTTTTGTTTTTGGGAACTCACACGAGAACTTCCCAGTGGGTCACCCATCATGGGGTTGCTCTCGCGCGAATTCGTTTAACTTCCGAGTTCCAATGGAACCCGAAGCCAGTGAGCTCCCAAAAGGCCTCGTGCTAGGTAGAGATGGGAATATACATATAAGGCTTACATGATCCATTCCCTTAGGCGATGTGGGATGTAACAATCCATCCCATTTAGGGGTCCGACGTCCTCGTCGGCACACTTCCGGCCAGGGATTGACTTTGATACCAAATTGTCATATCCTGACCTGGGCCCCCACCACATCCCAGGCTTGACTCCACTGTAGC